AATAATTAATTGGATATTTCCTTCTATACTTTATAGCACGTAGCTATTTATTATTAGCATTATTCTTCCGACGTCTGATTTCTTTTTAATTATAGGAAATGCGTTTTTCTAGGGTACATAAACTTTTGGGATTGACTGTATAGCCAATACATCCTTAAGTAGTACAATGGGCGTGCACCGCGTGTAAAAATACACTTTTCCACGAAATCAAATGCGCGCCTTTCTAGAGCTTTACACGCTCGGTCTAGAAAACGTTTCGATCGATAGGAGACACCGTCTAGGAGCTACGAGCAAAGACGATCGCGGGGTTCAACGGGACGATCGAATCCCATCTTTCTCGGGTCCAGAACAGAGAAGGAAGTAGGCAAAGACTCGCTATTAAACGGAAATGAAAGGAAGAGGTCGGAGAACGATCCCTACTCTCTTCCACGAGCGTCACAGTATCTGGTGCATGACAGCTGCCGGGGTTGCTCAATCGAGGAAATATCAGGTTTCGTCTAGCTGCGAGCATTTCCACGATACGTTCACTAACACGCTTTTACGCGATTCGAGAGCGACAGTTCGAACTTTCGATGCCGTCTGCCCATTGACGATCACTCGATCCGCGGTTACCAGATTTCTTTCAATTAAAAAAAATACCACCGATTCGTCGACTTCTCGTCAGCCGGCGATCCCGTGACATCGGTTCGCACTTCCAGCTGGCAATTTCGTTGCTAAACGCTTACCCTTCGTCTACAGTTCTACGTTTCCTTCGTTCGTACGTCCGGGACGTACAAACAGGAATGCAGATAAAAGTGCAACAATCGTGCACGTGTTTCCCGAGGCGAAGGGGTCAGCGTGGATAAAAATCAGAAGTTGCACCCGATGAATCTCTTTTTCTTTTATTAATTTCCGCCGGCAAGAGAGCGTTGCGAGCGAGCGAATCAAACTTATCTTTGGAACGAATCTAAGGAGCCCGCGATGCACGCAACACGCACGTGCGTAACGACGGCTAATGCAACTTCTTCGGTTCTCTTTTTTTTTCACTCGACAGTAAACGGCTCGTGTTTGTCCGATAGCTCGGTAAGGAGTCGCGTCATCGTCGATGAATCAATTGAATTTAATAACCGAGTCGTGTCGCGGAGGAAACTCGGGCAAAATACTATCGCTGCTACGTGTTTCCGCGTATTCATTGCTGATTCATTGACACGGTTCTTCGAATGATAACTCTCAACTTATATTCGAGGAAGCTCGGTATTGAAAAACGTTTGACAAGTCGGAACCGAGCGTGCATCGCCGAGCCTGTTTGCCTGTTTTTGCTGCAGCGATCTGAGGCGCGATCCTCGTCACGTTTGTGACGCGTCAGCTTCGACGATGAAGTCTAGCTGGACGTGCAGACGGCTTTTTCTGCACATGGTTGCACCGCGGTGTTGATCGTGTTAATTTGGAGTCGTACAAGATCGAATCGAGGGGTCGTAATTTCTCATTTGAATTCAAGTAGCAATTTGGCAGTTACGACGGTCGGCTTAATAAGAAATAAAGCAATCAAGGCTCTCGACGAGACTCACCTTCTCCTTGTCCTTCTCCTTTTCCGTCGCGTCGTCTTTATCCTTGTCTTTATCATCGGCCACGTCCGTGTGAGGCGCTATGCCATTGGTAGTGGGTTTCGTGTCGGTCTCCTCGATCCTTTCCAGTTTGCCGTCACCAGGTGCGGCGTTGTCACCGACACCTCCTTCGGCGGCCAGACCCTCCTTCTTCGGCGTCGTCGTTATGTCCACGGACCTTCTGCTCTGTCTCGCGCCCATCTTGCCTCTTTTTCTCTTTGCCTTCTGTCTCACCTGTCCCGTTCGCGCTTTCCTGGATGCCGTGTGATCAGGTGTCGCGCGTCCAATATAACTGACCTGCAATCAACGGGCGAAAGTGAACACGGAATGCTCGCAACGGAGGGGAAAGCTTATCAGCTCTTATCGATTCGCGAAACAGGTTGACATAAAACGTTACGCGCTGCATAGAATTCCGGATCGATCCATGCATTCCGATCCGAGAATTATCAATCGCGCACGTGTAAATACGAGCGTAATAAAAAAAAACGATTGTAGACTCGGCCGTGACGGGCAGACCTTTCATACGTTCGTGGAAAGAATTGACGAATACCAGTTGCATTCTCACGCACGCGATTAGACAGAGGCCGTTGGCTAATAGAGAAACGCGCGGTTTCCCGGGAAGGGAATCGCAGAGGCCGCGTTTACGACTTCATCTGGATGAAACGCGACCCGCCAGCATCGCCGGCAGTGCATCGGTATGCGGGTGATAGACGCGGTTGTCTGACTTTCGCGCGCGCGGAGCTTCTCAATTCGCAGGTGCAGCGAGGAGGAGATTCCGCGCGACGAAAACCTTCGCGCGCGCGCGCTTTTTTCGCTACCATACACGGCTGGCGAAAGAAATCGCCGGCCGTCGATGAATAATATATGAACTGGCCGCGTGCGAGACAAAGAGAAAGGTTCGACAGCGACACGCTTCGCGAGAAAGGAATTCCTCGCGAATTAAATACCGAGGCTGACCGTGTTAACGGGGGAAAAATCATTTCTCTCGCGTTGTTCATGCTACTGTCAGACGATTATAGATCTGCTCGCTGACACAAATTGAACAGCGAGGCTGGCCGTGTCAAACGGGAAATTAGTTATTTCGCATCGTAACGCGCAGGAGAGTGTAACGGACGCTCGGACCATAACGGGAAAGTTCGGTCGTTTCTTAACGACAGGCGTGAATCATTCATTGATTCAAGGAAAAACTGTTCGGGAGACAAAGGCGACAAAGATACAGAAATAAGGGGTCTCTATGAGAGCGGTAAGTGCCTCTAATTATCGTCGCAGGGAGTAGACTGCCGTTAAAGAGACGTTGGTTAACGGTAAGGCGAACGTTTCTCTCACGATGTCGGAGGAAGCGAGCCGTTGTTTCAACGAAACCGGGAAAAACTGGCGCGGCGAGGCCGAGCCGGACACGGCGCGGTTTATTCGCGTGTAAAACGCGTTTTAAAGAGCACGTGGCGTGGCGTGGCTACGCGCCGTTGGCCGTCTCGCGGATACACGCATCTTCGCGATCACCCAGCTCGGGAAGGCTGACCGAAATCCTGACTGTAAACAGAAAATGTAGAGTTTTTAGAAGTATTACTTGAACATCGACCGCAGTTTCAATCCTCAGCCAGTATCGAAAGGTGATTTAAATGTAATATTGAATTAAAATTGACGGTCCTACGTAAAAGTAAACGAACGATCGTGAATGAGCGTTTCCTGTATGCAAATGACGAGTGGAACGCGCGCCAGAAACGTAATCAGATGCGACGCGACGATTCGTAAGCGCGGTGTCTCGTCAACGGCGTGACGCCACGTTTTCACGGATTTTCAAATAGGCGGAAAGTAGGTACCGGCTTTCTGCTTTCTAACAATCTAGGCGGTTCGCGGACTATGTGCGGACGACTTAAAATTCGTAAAGGCGAAACCGATCGATCGCCATGGCGGGAGGAACGATATCTGATTGAACGTCGTTAATGATAAACGGTGTTGCGAGCTTCTATGAAACAGAAGTAATGCACAGACTCGAACGCCGCGTATCACCGTCGCTGAATAATGGCATTTGTCTCTGGCAGCCTATTCACGGTGCATTGCACTTTCGAGTCGCTACGTTACAACGCGCTTCAAAAGTTTCGAGCCGAACCGTCGCGGTCGCGACGATCATCGCTACTGTTCGAAAGATCTATGACGTATTTTATCTATTAAGGATAAACGTACCAATATTGTTTAAGCATATACCCTATACATCCTTAAAAAGAAGATACGCAATGCCTTGTCTTCTACGCATTTCGTTTTGCTAATATTTCGACGCACTTACTGTGCCATGTTTACTGGCTAGTCCTAATCTTAATCACTTTCTGACTCATTTCGTCTCTTTTGTCATACTTATTTAGAATTTTATGTATGTTTGTCTTTTTTCTTTTCTTCCTCTTTTATTTAATCTTACGTCTGTTATTGTTATTATATTTTTACTATATTATTTCTATTGTGTTATAATGGGCTATGCCCGTAAAATAAAGTATTATAATTATTATTATAAATAACGTCCGGTCCTGAGATTGGGAAGTCTGTTCGAGATCGAATTTGACGAATTTATCTCAGATAACGAGAAAGCACCGAGGACATTGAAAAGCTCTTTCAGACTGGATATCTATTATCCATATCAGTGACTTGGATACTGCTCGATGGGGGAACGTTTCTTCCGACGCTATTATTCTTACGTAACAGAATAATGGGTCACAATGGCGACCCCGTCGAGTTCTCGGAACACCCCCGCAGCAACGAATTTTCCGAGCAAATTGGAGTGGCCGGCGTACAAAGGAACCACGGTCCGCTGGACGGGAGAAAACGCTATTAAAAGTTCCGCTTCATTTCGCTCGTGGTCCCGTGGAATTACGACAAACATTATCAACGTGATTATTAGCATTTACGCACAAATCGAGAGATACATTAAACGTGTTCAGAACCCTATTTTTCAACGAACAAAGAGATCAGTGAACCATTCGATCTTTCACATACAAAAATATAAGACGAAGAGGAAGCGTGTAATCAGTCTCCGTTCGTGTACCACGGCCGGGAAGAGGTTTGAAAAATATTTACTTCGTTTCATCCCTACGGAGTGCGACATATGCAAGAAGCGGGAGGGTAAAAAATAGCTTCGGCCTGGCCGAGGTACGTCGCGAGTACGTCCAGGCCGCGACACGTGTCGAACGATCGCCCGTGGGAAACCGGCGGAATCATACCCACAGGAAAAACGTAGTCTCTCCTCTCGTAACTCATTCTCGTACCTACGATTTATCTCTCGCTGACGCTGCTATATTTAGCGAACCGCGGCGACAGATAAAACGGTACGCAGTTGGGAAATTGCTTTCAACGGTGTCAGTCAAAAATTCGACCACGTATCCACGATTCCTGACGAACGTGCGTACGAATATGAAAGAAAGCTGCTAGCACTGATTGCTTCACCGATTCACGGTTTGGATCATCGATTCGACGACTCTTCGAGAAGGGAAGCAAACGAGAAATCGTGTCATCTCTCGTTTGATTCACCTGATAATGGATTCTTTTCGATGCCACTTTTTAATAAAACGCGAAACTTCGAAGTAATCCTGGTAAACGTTGCATCATAATTCGAGATAACGAGTTCGTAGCCTTGGCTGGCAAATGCCATGAAATTAATCTTAGTACGTTTGAGAAAAAAAAAACAGTAGATATAAACTGTACATAGCTTAAAATATCACAAGTCTTAACGTACTCGAGCTGTTACGACACGACGTTCGATTACACGTTTTGAATCTTGTGAAGAGAGGTGTAGATCCGAGGAACGGAATACATACCGAGATTTCTTTCTACAGATCCGCTCAATAGATTAATAAGCGCATTCAAGGGTCACTGCCGTCGTCGCCTATTACTGGCTCGACGACGAGAAGGCAAGATCGGCTCGGTCGACGTATGGGAACCGAATTCCTACGACGTCCGACGCTAATGAGGAAAATACGTCGCCGTTTATGCGATTTTAACGACATTATTGCTCAGAGGAGCGATTGCAGCCGAACGATGTTACGAGAGAGGCACGGGACGATTAAAAAGCTGAAAATAACGGCGAGATAACGATAACATTTTTAGCGTGTTTGCCCGGTGACTCACGGGCACCTCAATCGTTGATCGAACTTTCACGACGTCGATCCGCTGCCTCGGATTTTCCTTCGGAAAAGACGATCGTTCGGAGCAACGCGGCGTGTCGCGTTACGTCAAGGACACTAGACTCGCACGCTCGCATCCGTCGAGTCGTTAGCGGGAAGAAAAAACACGTATCTCTCGAATAAAAAAAAAAAGAATTGTGTAGCCGCGTGCACGAGAGCATGCTGCAGGCTCGTTTCCCACGCGGCGCACGCTAGTGTACACGCCCGATCAATCGGCCGTTATTTTCACTGGGCTAACACGCCTGATTCTAGCGGGGAGTTTGGCCGAATAATTCACGAAGAAAAGAGGACATCTGCTCACTCGAAATTGAGAATCACGAGGGCGGCAGAGAGCGAGCCGGCCCGTATTCGACGCGTGCGTCCCGCATGCGTGAAACCGGCACGGCGCACGTGCGTGTCTGCCGGTGAAAATCATCGGGAAGGGTGCAGAGGAAAACGTAGAATTTCTGCACGCTTCGTTTTCCTTTGCATACGCAAGTACGAACGAAAGGTTCCCTCTCAGTCATTTTTTCAAACGATCTCATTAAGAAACGTTCGAAAGAGACATTTTCTGATGAGGTGAGGTGGCGCGCACGTGCGTGCGTAGCGATGAAAATCGTGATCGTCGATGGCAAACAGGAAGGCTCGCCCTGCGAGGGTGCCAAAGGTGCGGCATACACGCAGGCTGCGCGCCGGCCGGCTGCGGTCGAAAATATACGCGTATCCGGAGTGAAATATAACGTGGATATCCATTTTTAGCACGCGTGCACCCTTCGGCTCGTGTAAACAGCCGTGGCTGCAAAGGGTGCAGCTACCGAATCCGAAAGACTCGTGTAAACACCGAGACAGGGAATAAGAATAGCGCGGATAACGAGAGCAAACTTCCGCGACGCATGAAAAGAGTCACGCGGGTTTGAGATAAATGTGCCGGCGCGAACGTTCGTAGAGGCGTTCGCGAGGCAAGGAGTTCGATCTCGAATTCAGCTGACGTTCCCTATCTGGGAAATCGCGATATCTCTGTATCGCGTGGTTCGAACCGCGACAGGGGGCACGGCCAGGCATCGAGAAGAAGAACCGGTTGAGCCGTAAGGCGTTTCGACCGGCGTGTAGTCGTCTGCCTAAGCAGTCGGAACAGCCTTTTCTTCGTTCTTGTGAACGAGAGAAAGGCAGATGTGGGCAAGTTAACGACCCGTTATCGCGCGGACTCGCTGTAGTTGAAACTGGTTGCTCGTCGATCGCCGAGGGAAAAAGACGTCGACGAGGCCAGGAAGGAGCGGCGGCGGTGCGTGGAATCGCGCGTCCAGACTCGGTCAAATGGCGAGCTTAACAGGTGCGCAACGAACGAACGAAAACCGTTTTGTACGGGAAAATGTCGGGACTTGGAGCGAACCAGTCAGGCCTTTCTCCGGCGACGATCGCTTCCGCGGAAGCCTTGACTGCGTTTTAAATGCGCGGCAGGTAGAGGCCTGCTATGCAAAATCGGCACAAAGGAGAGAGAGAAGAAGGGAGAGAACTGCAGACACGTCGCCGCTGTTCAAGGCACCCGGCGAGAGCGTGTCTCCTTTCTCCGTTCAGCCATGGTAACAGTGAACGCTAAATCCGCCGGACAAAGCCCCGGCAGCGAGGATTTCTCGACGCGTCTGTCGCCACGAGGGTCTCGAGAGAAAAACGGTCACCCACGGCTCGTGGATCGAGGAGGCGTGCAACGAAGCACGGGGGCCCGACCGATTGCGAGATCGCGATGGATCGCGATGGATCGTGCCCCGAGGGAAAGGTCACTGGTAGTCTCGAAATCGTGCGTACGGTCGATCGTTCAGGGGTTAATACCGACCCGATGGTGGGAGAAGGAATCAAGATGGCGTAACCGGCCGCTGCTCCCAACGATCCTTCGATCGGGAACGCGGCTCTTTCACCTTCTGATCGACGACGAACGCGAGATTTCTCGCGAGAGGAACGTTATTATTCTAGCAGACGGGGACCCGAGGGAGAGCGACCGTTGGGGCCGGAATCGAGAGCCGGCTCCGAGGTGCTCGCTATATCGATTGACGTTACCCATTTTCAAAATGGCGCGGGGGTACACTCGAAGAACCGCTGCGACGCTGCTACGTACGTTTCTCGACGTCGCGATAAAAAACCGTGCAGAATTCTGTGAAAGCTGATCGAACGAGGTGGTCCGTCGAAGGGACGCGGATCGAACCGACGTAACGCGAGAAGAAGTCGAAGACCGGCACACGCAACGTGTGCGCGCGTTTCCTCGTTACGCCACTTCGGAGTACTCACCGGGGTAGTCGAGGGTGTCGTGAGTGCCAAGAGCGACGGGACGAAATTGTCCTCCCTCGCGCAAGAAACACACTGGATATATTATTCCGAGAGGAGCGAAGAGGCGCGACGTCTAGACGAGGAGACGATATACTTTCGGCTGGAGCACACGAGCAGCCGGGCGGAGGAAACGAGCGGAGCACCCAAGGTGTTCACCCACAGGATTCGCAGACTTTTTTTAGCGGGAGCGCGTTCGCGAACTCATCCACTTGGCTCGGTAACGCGCGACCGACTGGCGAGAGAAGCGGAGGGGAAGCCGGCGTCCGTCTGTCGGTCCGTCTGTCTGTCCGTCCCGACCGTCTTTCTGTCACCAGCGTATCGCTCGCCTCGCCTCGCCTCGCTCGCTCGCTCGCTACCAGCTCCTCGCTTCTACCCCGTCCTTCTCTGTCGAACGCGCGCGCGCTTTCGCTCGCTCTTTCGCGCTCTCTTACCCTCGTACCCCGCCGGTACCCTCGTTCCTTACTCTCTTTTTCCACTCGGGCTCTTCGGCTCCGAAAGTCCCTCTCCTTTTTACCCGACTTCTCGTTCGCGTGTACAGAGGTGCCCGCTTCTACCCCGCACGCTTTCTATCCCCGACGGTTCCTCGAACTGCCCATTAACCGTGGAACATCGTGATTACTATACCAGATAAGCTTTCACTGCCACTCGACGTGTCTCGACCCACCCGCGGGCCAACGAGCTCGACGAAGCACTCGACGGTTCCCGAAAAACCTCCCGAGGATCACACCGAGCGGGCACCGCTCTCACACTTTTACTTCCGAGTCACAGGAATACGCCGGGCTCGTTAGTTTCACAACCTCGCCGTGAGAAAAATCGGCGCGAACTCACCCCCGGTACCGAAGAGTAGCGTGACCAAGCCGCAGACGATGATCGCAGTTTCCCCGGACTACATGGAGCTAATGATCGATCGTTTCCTTTGTTCCCGCCGAACGGAGTTTCGGCCGCGCACTCCTCTCTCTTTGTCCCGAGGAAACCGAGCGTACGAGCGCGCACAAATCGAACGAAAAGAGAAACACCTCGAAGTACCGCGCGTATCTCGTTGTTACGTGGGTCTCTCGTATATACCCGTTCACTCTTTTCACCTGACCTCCGCACCGTTCGACCGTCGGAGAAAGAATGAGCTCCGGGCCAGACGGGAGGCAGGAACGTACAGGCCGAGCCCGGCACCCAGGGACTCGGATATGGTGGCAGCCCTGCTTCCAGCTCGCCAAGGGTATGGGGGTTCCAGGGCGGGGTCCTCTCGCGAAGGGCTCCCTGGCCGCTTCCGAAGGAAACTACGAATTTCAGGGTCACCTCTCTTCCGAGTACCACTGCCCTCCCAATGACCCGTCGATCATCCGATAATTGACACGATTACGAGACGACGTACTTCATCGAAAGGGTCTGCGATCGATACACGAGCAAAGACGTTGCCTCTGATCGTCGATCGTCTTTCCTTTATCCCCTCAATTTGTCCTCCGCCAGAGTGGAACGATAGCGAGAGAGATCGATGCGATCAATATTAATTCCAACGACGAGAGAACATCGATCGCTTGTCTACTAACGCTCGTCGAGAACCACTGTTTTTAATTTAATTCCTACGGGTTTCGCTTTAATTGTACTCCAATCGCACGTCGCGGAGGGTAACGACCTACGGCAACATGTTTTGTCCGAATTCAACGAGTGGGAGGGAAATCGATCCGCGGTAGAATCGCGAATTTACGGGCAATGAGTAACGTTCGACGCACAGCCGCAACCGCTGCTTTTTGTTCCAACGTATTACCTACGTATTATACATATATGCGACGTAACGTGTAATGCTCAGATCACACGTTAATACGCGGTATTCATTTTCTTAATGCCACGTCGATAAGACGCGAGGAATTTATTCGAGGGTGAGAGCAAAGAAGAATGATAACACGACTCTGGAGCAATACTCTGATGTCTCGCAATCTCTCTGGCCGTTTAGACTATGGTGGTCGTTAGAGCGAAACAAAGTACGCGTATACCTGCTGCTGCCGCTCGCCCACAAGCCTTTCGCCTTTCGTCGCGGTGACTAATGCGAAAAGCCTGAGCAGAGGAGGAAACACGGTGACTCTCGGACTGGTAGAGAGAGAGAGAGAGAGAGAGAGGGAGAGATAGGGAGTTAGATAATAGTTCGGCACGTCCGGAATTTCGGAATTCCGGCTAGACACCGAGCACTCGCTTCGACGAACGTTCAACTCTCTCGCTCGTTCTCCAGAGACTTCGATGCGTCGCTTTTAACCGAAAGCTTCGCAGAAAATACCGGATCATCGCCCAGATCTCTGACAGATGATATCGCATCAACGATTTGCAACACGTTAACGCTAGCCAGGTTCCTTTATGTTCGACGCCGTCGCGTCGAGGCCATCGATTTCCGAACCACCCAGAACTTGGAAATCTCGCGGATGTTTATCGATCTCTCCGGTAGCTATCGCCCACTCCGAAGGAAAACTGATCCTCGCGCGGTATGCGTAAGCTCCGATCGGCTCGACGGCGTTTCGTCTACCGGAAATCGGTTATCGATAAGCCGCGTTACGATTCCTCGGCTGGCTAGAAAATATGCACCGGCGCGTGTACTTATTTCGATTCGAACCGAGGCTAGAAACAGGCTGGCAACTAATCTTGAAATACGCGATGGAGAGCAGGAAGGGTACAAATTGTTGCAAACGATTCTCGGTAGCCGGGGTGGTTACTCGCTCGAAACGGTAACTCCGCGACTACGAATTGCTCGTAACGATATAGCTTCAGGAGAGCGTTGCTCCTGGCTGCAAACGAGTTAATGGAGGCAGAAGCGATAGACAAGGTAATATCACGCGGAAGGAGTCGAAACCGCATCGAATGACATAACTGGGAACACGGGAGCACTGTATATCCTGAGACTCGGCATAATGCCTTTCCACGAATTAATGGAAATCGATTTTAGCACCGCGCGACTCTGCGCTCGCCTCCGCGCTAGATTCGTTCGTATTAAGGATGTATTGGCTATACAGTCAATCCCAAAAGTCTATGCACTTTAGAAGTGCAGTTTTTAAAAAGAAATCAGACGTCGGAAGAACCTTGCTAATAATAAACCACAAAAAAAAATTTTCGATTTTTCCGAGATTTTTCCAAGGGGTACCCCTTCAATTTCTTTCAAATTTTCGTTTTTGGCCAATAACTCCCAAACCGTTGGACATACGGGAAAATTGCACTGGACCTTTCTTGTAGAGGGCGACGAGATCTACAATTTCCATATAAAAG